TTGACTTTATCTGAGCAACTTGGTTCAGTTTTGTTGATAGTTCTTTTAAATAATACGGAAACTCGACAACGAGACTGCAATAAAAGGTGTAAAAAGATATTTGATGATCGTAATCGGGAATGATAGACCATTGACAATAATGAACTAACGATGTATCACAACAATTTTAACCATAATATCATATAAATTTTATTATTAAAAAGAAATAGACTGTATAATAATAAATAATCATGTTAATTTAAGTTCAATTTTGACGGAAAAATGATCAGATATATGTTTAGGAGCCTGGTTAACGTAAGCTAGATTTTTGTATAACCAATGTTCATTGTACTTCTACACATTATATTTTACGACCCGATCACTCATCAAATTCAGTTCATATATTATTCGATCGTAAGCATTTTGTTGTTTACCAACCGTGGTATCCACATCGTGTGAAATCCCCTAAAATAAATATCACGGCTGATGCTGGAAACGGCTGAAGCTGAAAATCAGGGACCCTGATTTAAAAATATAAACCCTGCCAAAATCCACTTATACTCTTTTATTATCAAAACTAACCCTAAATCCTAATCTAACCATGAAAAAAGAGCTAAAAAAATGCATCCCAAAAAATTTTAAAAATTTCATATTAAAATATTTAAAATTTTCAGCTTCAGCCGTTTTCAGCTTCAGCCGCAACAATAAATTTTCACGATCTGATAACTTTTCAATTTCCGTAAAATCATTCTTGTTTACATATGACCCCAACGCATTAAAATCACCCAACAATACTATAAGTTCATCGCTCATGAATTCCTTTCCCATCCATCTCTTTACCACTAGAAAGACATCGTTTATCAATGATCGTAATTTGACAACCGCTTTCATCAGTTGTAAATAACAACCGACAAGAGTGATTATCACATCAGAATATCTTATATGTTTAAATCACACAATGTACGGAGTTCGATTGATCACATTTTCCGATTCCTCCTCATTAACCACATATGCATAGATCAATTCCCAATCACCTTTCTTGTAGATGTATAAATATCATTCTTTAGACCCTGATGTTTTTCCAACGGAAGGAGATAAGGCGTGTGAATATCGACCATTCAACTTGTTCATCAACAAATCAGCCTGACGATTCGACATACTAACCTTCTGACAAAAAATAATATCATAACGTTTGATAATTTTAACAATATTTCTCATTACAGCATCATTTTTGAACTTTTCACCACTGAATTTTTGAATATTGAACGCCCCGATAATATAAGTTTTATCAACATCAACACCGAACCTTGGGCTAAAAACACACGGTGATAACACCCACTTCAAATAATCGTCCAATAACTCATTATCTATTTTCATTTCTGGAGATTTGGACATTTCGTTTGTAGTTGTAACAAAATAAAAATAAAATATCGCATGTTTATATACATCTCAACCCCTTACTACTACTTCAATCAAATATTGACATTGTATCTAAAAAAATCTTAGCATGAATTACTGTAACAGTTGGATTTTAATAGAATTCGAATACCAATAACTGATAACTAACTATCGATTTTTTAGACATAATTCAAGTTTAAAAATAAATTTTATATTTGACCTAACCTAAATCATTAATAAGGTTCATATACAGCATAGTTAATTTTAAGTAAACTATATGGTCTTTTGTCTGAATGGAATAAAATATTATACCAGTTTTAGAATTAAAATAATGACACGTAAGATGAAATCCAAATTGGAATTCTTCAAAAGTTTTTATAGTTAAACTGATACGCGTGATATTTAGCAAGATCTGACAGGATTAGAAATATAAAAATACAACCTACTCGTAATTTAGCTCCATTTCTTTGTTTAATATGTACTTAATTTAAAAAAATGGCTAATTTAATCTTAATTAAATTCTTGAAACAAGAACAATTTTGAACAAAAAGTTCTTACGCTTTCCAAGTAGTTAATTTATTACCTTTTCAATAAAGTTTAATTTGGAATTTAAGATTTTTAAGATTAAATATGATTACTTCTGAAACTAAAAAACATGTCACTATCAGATTGTGAACTAAGATAGAATTTCAATTAGATATATTAATCAAAAGAAACCTATTTTTAAAATTAATAGACGGTAAGACGAAATCTAAATTGGAATTCTTCAAAAGTTTTTATAGTTAAACTATAAAATATAGTACTTTTCATCTTCCTCTTCAAATATTTTAAAATAAGCTAGTGGATGATATTTAGCAAAGATACTGATTAGAAATATCCACTCTCTATGCATAATTTAGCTCCATTAATATATGCTTAATTTAAAAAAAAAACGCTCTTTTAACTAAATTCTTAAAACAAGAACAATTTTGAACAAAAAGTTTTTGCGCTTTCCGAGTAGTTAATTTTAAATAATTCCCAAATAAAAAAAAGTCAACAAATTTTTTCCCATTTTCGAGTGGTAAATTTATCGCATTAGATTAATTTAATTATTTTATTAAAAATAGTATTTGGCCAAAAAACCATATTTAGCTTTCGTATATAGAACTCCAAATTGAATTTAATTGGTACTCGATAAATTAACCACAAGAATCGATAAAGTCTCTATTAAGCACAAGATATTAAACAAAATAGTACAGTTTTCGCATTTATTGATAAAGTCTATAAATTCCAAATATTGTTTTTTTGACCAAGTGATATTCAGCTGCTCAGTTACTTTTATCTTAGTGTCATTAATGTATTCAATTGACAACCCAAAATAGAAAGACCTGTTTCTTCAGATAATTATTTAAACAACCTTCTCTGCACTTTTTACTCTATCTTTCAAACACTCAACATAAATATAAAAAAAATGCCACGTATTCGTTCTTCTTTCAATGCTCAAAAGAACCATAGCTACAAGTTAAGCGACAAAATATACGAGATACCTTTTATAAATGAAAACAAAAAAAAAGATATAAACATTTATATTGATCCATACAAAGAACATAAAAACAGTAGCTTATACAATAAAAAATGCTATTTTTGTAAACAAAGGCTGTTCAAAAAATGCACAATTCAAATTATTTGTGGAGATACATTCCATTTCAATTGCTTTAGAAGTCACATAATCAGGACTCTCGAGCTATACATAGATAGGTTAGAATTTATTTTTGCTTATTTTTTGACTATTTTTTGCAGATCTTTACTATTTTTAGTAATATATATGCTTATTTTTGACTATTTTTACGCAGATCTTTTACTTTTTTAGTAATTTGTTAAGATTTTTTAAAAATCTTAGCTGTATATAGAATGCTCGGGGTCCTACAAAATCAAAAGATATTTTTTTGAAAAATCTCCTATTATTTGTTGCCTACACCATCTAGAAATAAAAATTTTCGATGAGATTTATGATGAAATTTGTTCTACATATGAACACCTATATCCTAGACATTACGAGATTGAAATTTTGAAAGAAAAAATACAAAATTATAAAATCGATCGTGAATATGCTAGAGAAAATGCACTAAATCAATTAGAGAAAAATACAAACAATCTTAATTCTAAACTATATATGGAAGCAATAAAGAAAATAGATAATGATTTTAAATTCCATCCAAAAAATTTATATAAGGAAATTACTAAAAAGCTTGAACTTCACAAATATGTTTTACAAAGAATATATTCAAGTTATAACTTTGATACTAAAACTTTCATAGATTTAGTTATTAAAAATACTAGTAATACTTCTAAACTTAATGCTATAAAAACTTTTTTAAGTTCTATTAAAGAAAAGAATAAATATTTTTATTAATTTATATATTATTATAATAAAGTTATCTTTAACATTCTTAAACCTTTTTTGCGGCGCAGATTTTGTGCTTAGATTGTGAAACATGCATTCCTAATTAGGAATGTAGATAATTCTAAAATGAATTCATTCAATTTCAATTGACAAATTTTGAGAGCTAAAAAATTTCTGTAGGGTAGGGTCAGCAGACTTTGCACCGCAGAATTCTTTGATAGATTGTGAAACATGCATTTCTACAATTCTTAAATGAATTCATTCAATTTCAATTGATAAATTTCGAGAGCTAAAATTTTTGTAAATAATGAACAGGTAACCTCACCCGATCCGGTGTGCAACATATAAAAATTTTACAATACCAGATCAGAGCTGCAGACATTAGAATATCAATAAATATAAGGCATGACGTATTGATGTCACTACCCAAATTTTATATGACGTAGGTGACGTAAAGAGAAGTATCTTTGACCTTCACAATACTAACGCAAATTCCTAGTGATACAAATGTCTAAAGCAACAAGCTGATCGGCTAAGGATCTAACAAAATAGGACATGACCATTAGCCAATAACAGATCATATAGTTTCATGACTTAAATTATCCATTGCTAAATTACATTTTAGCTATTTTCATAATTTCTAGAATATCTACTCATTACCCGAAATCTTTTTGGTCATCCAGTAAATTATTTAACTTCCGGAAATTACTTTGCAGGTACGAAGACACCGATGTAGTTTCTGGTGAGTTAAATAATTTACCGGATGACCAAAAAGATTTCGGCGAGTAGGTGTTACAGAAATTATGAAATAGCTGTAATTCAGTAAATCCTCAAAGCTATTTCACGCTTTATAGCTTTCTAGCAATCGCTTACAAAAACTATTTGGTCCTTTATAGAAGAAATAACAAATAAAGAAAATTTGATTCTTACATTCGTTAATCTGTCCTAATGGTCCACGAATATTTGAAATTTTTAAATAGTAATTCCAAATATTCGCAGATATATGTATCATTAACTGCCTTATCTGTTTTTGTTCTTTACAAAATTATTACTATGAATTCTTGTAAATTACTAAAAATAATACAAAAAAATGTTTTTCAAATGATGTCCAGGAATATATTTCTAGATAAAACAAAGTAAATAATTGTCTTGATCAGTCTTTTCCGAGTGGCTAATCTTTAATTGAGACACGATCAGTCTTATATATGCTATAATGATGAACATGAAAAAAGTTATTTTACACGTGTTATTGCAATTCATTAATCTTTGAAAACTATCTTCTTTGTCTTAGATAAATTGAGGAGTATGGATTTTCCATAAATTCTTGAAATCAATGAAAGAAAAAAAATTAAAAATACGCCAAAATCTACAAAGACTTATTGAAAGATATCCACTCGGAAAGCACAAGAACTTTTTGCTCACGTTTCAAGAATTTAATTAACCATGAAAATGGCTAGATCACGCCCTAGCTAGTTACTTTTATATTTCTAATTGAATATCATGCGTGTCGCTTCACTATAGTTTTTTGTTAACTGAATATTCATTAAAAATTCATCATATATTGTTCACTGAATTGTGTACAATATTATCTCAAAAGCTATATATATTTTTCTATTAATTATCTAAGTCTGGCTTCTCTTTCTTCATAATTGATTTGTTCATAGATTTTCATAAATTCTTGAAACAAAGAAAAACAATACTGCAATGGTAATAATATTTTTACTAATTCTTTTTAGTACATTCTTTTGGATTATATACATTGCTGATAAATTCAAATTAGAATTAATATACGTGAAAATTTTTTAAAATAATATCTTATTAATCCAATAATATATATACTCCGTTTTACTAATTAACACAGCCTTTTCTGAGTGGTTAAAAACATTATATGTTTTAAAAGATGAAAATAATATAGAATGAAAATTTTTAAGCATCATTACAAAATCTGCTAATTCTTTTTAGTCATTCTTTTTGGATTATATATATGCGAAAATTTTCTAAAAATAATATCATATTAATCTGATAATGTATATACTCTGTTTTACTAATTAACACAGCCTTTTCTGAATGGTTAAAAACATTATGAAAATAGTATAAAATGAAAATTTTTATGCGTCATTACAAATCTGCTAATTCTTTTTAGTCATTTTTTTTGGATTATATGTACGTGAAAATTTTCTAAAAATAATATCATATTAATCCGATAATGTATATACTTTTACTAATTAACACAGCCTTTTCCGAGTAGTAAAAACATTAATAAAAATAGTATAAAATAAAAAATTTTTTCACGTCATTACAAATCTGTATAACACGGACTTTTAACCGAATGGTTTATTAAATCACTCTTTGTTTAGATGATCGTCAATGAAATAATTATAAAAGCAAGCATTGAATCCAAGAATTCAAACAAAATCTAACAAATAGCTTTAAATTTAAAAGATGAAAGCCATCATAACTTCTGAAACATTCTTTGAAAATTTCTTTGTTAAAAAAAAAGGTATTGAATTGAATGAAAATCAAGATTCCTGGGATTACAAGCAAAGATCTATAGAAACTTTCAATACAACTTACAAAATTATTTAATTCCTAAAGAATCATAGCTCTTTTGTTTGTTCTGATATTGATGAAAATAACGAAAAGCGTCAATACCTATTTGGCATACTTATAAGAAATTTCTATGAGATTGGAGATATTTCATTCATAGGAATAGTAATGAAACCAGGCGAAGAGATAAAAATCTATGATTGCGAACACCTTATTTCTAAAAATAATGAAAATCCAGAACTACCTAATAATAATTATATCATATTTATTGCAGGTGATAACGGCTCAGCAAAAGATGTCTTAGAATATTGCAAGAATAATGGCATTTATATATTACACATTAATTCAGATAATTCCAGAATTGTATTGCAACATAAACCTTAAAGTTTTATTGAACAAATTTCTAGAGAGCTCTCCCAAAGAAATATTGAGAATTTTGTGCATGATAATATCATTAATTTTAGTCATAAAGGAGTTACTTTTATTAATTATTGTTCAAATTTTATTACAAGAAAAAATGTGAAAAATTTTCATCTTTATCTTACAAAATACCCAGAAAATGTTTATCCCTTCATTATTTATACTACATATGATGAAACCTTTAAACAATCTACTTATAAAGAAATTAGAATGATGAATCAGTCCACATTTTTCGAACATATTGAACTTTTAATTGGTTTTACAAAAAGATCTAAATTTATACCACAAGAAATTAATCAAGATTTTATGACACAAATTAAAAAATGAAAAAGAACCGATAATTTAGACAAAGGTAATAATAAATGCTCAGCAGTTTAATTGTGTGTAATAAATTAACCACTCGGAAAATACAAAAACTTTTTGTTCATATTTCAAGAATTTAATTAACAAAATTACGCGTAGGGTGTCCTTACTTTTATATTTCTAATTGAATATCCACGTGTCACTTCTCTGTTGTTTGTTTTAAAATATTAAAATAGAAAGTACTGTATTTTTCGTTATTAATATGCATAAATTCTAAAAATACAAATATTCATAAAAAAAATTTATCATACTGGCAATTATTTCGAATAATAATTTATTATTCGAAATAATTGCTGGTTCGAGATTTTTTGTTACCGACGATCTTTGTTATAGAAAATTTTAATAATTCAAATTTTTTATTTTAAAACAATACATATTTCTGTATCTTAATTTTGGTGACAAATAATATAATAAATTTAATTGTCACAGAAAATAGAATTATTTGTTACTGAAAATAAATTATGTATAGTATTACGCGAAATAGCTCTATTTCTTTGTTAAATTCTGATAATCATACTTTTACTAAACAACATGTAATAGATAAATCATATATCATACTAACTTGGTCAAACTCTGAGCATTATTTATTATCGAAAAATACACCATTTTTAAAGAAAAATATAAATTTAAATATTATTCTAATATAAAGGCGGAGAAATGTAAATATTTTGGTTACTAATATAGGGTCTTTGCCTTGAAAATAACCTTATGGAACATAGTAAATCATATGATCCAAATTTGATTTTCAAGGCAAAGACCCATATATGTTTTGGTATTGAGGGTGGCTGCTTCTTCAACCTCATGTTGTGTGCTACCATCTAGAAGAGATTTTACGAGAAGGAAGAGGAAATAGAGAAGCACTTTGGAAAGTTTGGTAAGATGGTGGAGGAGTATAATGAACAAGACAATTTGTCTTTTACTTCAAAATTATAGAAATGATCGACAAAACATTGGCTTCATATAACCATAAAAACAATTAATATTTCAATTTAGAGATATTGACAAGATTAAAGACATTTTTTTAAATAAAAGTTCTGATAAAATTTATATATACTCATTTTTAAATATTTAACAAGCCAGATTTTTTTTGTAATGTATCACGTTCAGACATATTATCATAGTCAGCTAATGGCTGCCATCAATAGAAATAAGGCAGATTAACATTTTAAAAACTATGATTAAGGGCCTTATTAGCATATATGAAAAGTTATTTGTGGAGTAACTTGTCAATGACTTTAAGGAGCTGTTCATTATCATAACCATTAAGTTTCTCTTCATCTTTTATGTTTTTGCAGAATACAAAAATTTAATGGTAAAGAAAAAATTTTTCATAATACTGAGTTTATTTTATTACATTCAAAATTTTATCTAATAAATTTTTAAAGAAAATTCTTTTTTACATTCTTGAAAATCACAAAATCCGAGAAAAATAAAATTAAACAAAGGTAAATCAGAAATGTGCTTTAACTTATTTTTATTTCTACAAATTTCTTGAAAAATCTTATTTCAATTTTTAATTAAAAATTTATATTTTTTTGTTTATATTTTTGAAATTGTTAATTATTTTATTTTTTATGATTGCTATATTTAATGTTTTATCTACTCCTAGAAAATAATCTTCTTCTTCCATGCAATCTTTTTGAAATAAACGTTGACATTCATTACAAATATTTAAATAACTTGTGTATTGATAAATTTTCTGTTTGTTATTTATTTCTTCTTTTTGTAAAATTTGATAAATGATTGACTTTTTAATCAACGTAACCGAGACCAGACAATAACGCATATTGGTATT